AGACTTTGCCTACAGCGAAGGAAGAAGAACCTATCGTTGCGGCCGAAAAACCCGAAGCCCCAATCGAATTTCCCCCTTCATCGCCAGTAACCCGGGTTCCTCCGAACCCAAACAAGCCTCTCCCGAAGGCTCCACCTGGAGCTGATAAGGAAGACTCATGGGAAGATGTTGAAGAAACGTTTAAGGAGCAGAAACCCGCCTGGGAGGACCTTCAAAAAGGGTTTACCACGGATTACATGAGCATCTTTTCACCAGTTAAAAACGAGCCAGTAAAGAACTCCCCAAGAAGGAGAAGTACACGGTTGAGCAGTCGATCGGTTCAACACTCCCCAGACAAGGAGCAAGGCGACAAAATTGACAAGTTGATTAGACAAGATGAGGAGGGGTTATTGAGACCGAGTGTTTCGTCTCCGACTTTAGCAGTCGCGAAGCCGAGAAGCCCCGGGAAAAAGGCAGTCGCTCCGGGGGAAACAAAATCAGTTCAACGAGCTATGACGGAACTGCCAAAGCAAAGAGTCTCGAAGAAGGAGCAAGCCAGAAGAGAGCTTGATCAAGAGTTTAAACAGCAGAAACTACCGCCACCAACACCAACGAGACCGGCCCCAGAGCCTACCCCACAGGCGGAGGAGGCCAAGGAAATGAAACCCGCTGTTCCTTTGAAAGACGAGACGAGACTAGAACCTCCTAAGGGTCGAGATTTTGCCCCCCCTTCTACACTACCTACTGGGCCTCCTCTCCCTTCGGCTGATAGTAAAGCGGTCGAGGATTTCCGAAAAGTTCGGGCCAAGCTAGAATCTGGACACGGGCACCCAGTCCTATCCTTGTTTTCGTCGCACCTTCCGAATCAAAAGTCTAAGCATGATGCTAGTGTTACTGAAAGTGTGGAGGGTAAGGAGAACTCTGCAAGCAGCAAAGCAGATGCGAAGGCGGAGAGAAGAAGAGCCAAGATAGAAGAAAAGGAGCGAAGGAAGTCCGAGAAAGACGAAAAGAAGCGAAAGAAGAAAGAAGGGAGTTTCCCACCCGTCTCGGAGCTCGTTTTTGAGGACGAAGATATGGAAATCGATGGTCCACCGTATCTTGACCTTCCGACGTTGTCACCAAAAGGTGGTAGTGCTAAACGAAAGGCTGCAGAGGATCATTATGAAGCCACTAGGGAGGAGGCCTCACGAAATGCGTCTAGGTTGGCCTCCAAGGGGAAAGGGAAGCAGAACTCACCAGTCCCGGAAGATATTTGGATGCCGGAGGAAGTTAGGAAGCCACATAAACGTGTCAATGTTGGGGGCAGTTCCCCAAATTTGAGAAGCAGCGGGCTAGCTATGTCCACCGCCAGCACACAAAATGGCATGATGAGCCTCCACGATATGATCGCGGACTTGAAGACTTCATTCAACCAAGAAATGGGTGCCCTAAAGACTGAGATGAAGAATAAATTTAAGCAGCAGGATGAATTTTTGGAAGGATTGATTAAGGGTGAGAGAGGAGAAGTAAAATTTTTGAGGGATGAAAATGAGAGATTGAGGGCTCAGATTCGAGAGTTGACAGGAAAGTAGAGGAATATTTTCACGGTACACTAATCGTCGTTTGGCCCCGACATTTTTTGCGTTTGGATTTGACGGTGACTGGAGGTCCTTTCACTAATGACTTCCTGTATGATTGATGATGAAGCCTTGTTTCTGCATTTGCATATGATTTTAGCATTTCTCAGGCGCCTTGCAAGTAGTGTCCCCTTTTTTCCCTCCTAGCTTGATATGCGGCTGTGAAGGGTTCATTCATTACTTTCGTTTCTGTTCTAACAGCCTGTCGGATGGAGTTTGGGAGACGATTCATTCATTTTTTTGCTAGCGACTTTCATTAGAACTTGGTGGGCCTTCGATGGATTACAATAACTCGTGTACAATAATTATTTTGAAATGCAAGGCCTGGGAAATCATATTTTGGGAGGTGGCATCGATGTCTGGCTTCGGGACGAATCGTGACACTTGGTTATGGGACTGTGCGACACCACAAGCTCATTATGTTGCATTTTTTTGTGTTGCGATGGTTCCACAGAGCCGCAGATCGAAACTTTTTTTTTTTCGCTTTTAAGCTTTGCGAAAAATTTCTGGTCGCGAAACTTCTTCCCACTCCACAAGCTCCAACATCAACCTTACCCCAATCTTTTCATATCCTCAACGTCGCAGAACCAGCACAATGGGCAAAATTAAGAAGAAGGGTATATTATTTCCTATACGGTTTCTAAAATTGTACCTTAGTACTAACAATCTATCGTTTGTTTGTATTAGGCGTGGCCGGAAATGCCAGAAACTTCATTACTAGGACGCAAGCTGTTCGCAAGCTCCAAATATCCTTACCAGATTTTAGAAGGCTTTGTATCTTCAAGGGTGTGCATACCTATATCCATAATCTGGATTAATCCGCTTTTGCGATACGATCTCTAATACGAATTGGTTCATTTGCAGGAATCTACCCACGAGAGCCCCGTAACAAGAAGAAAGCCAATAAGGGTTCCACCGCCCCAGTAACCTTCTACTACGTATATAAAACCTTTCCGTATTCAATTTCCTTTTTTTTGAAAGAAGACCCGTTAATAGAATTGGAGAAAATAGACTAAGGACATTCAATACCTCCTCCACGAGCCTGTCCTCCAAAAATTCCGCGAGCACAAGACCTTCAGCAAAAAGCTATCCAAAGCCCTCGGCCGCGGCGACTTCTCCGACGCAAAACGTCTCGAAGATATCCACAAGCCCCGTATAAAACTCGATCACATCATCAAAGAGCGCTACCCAGCCTTCACAGACGCAATCCGTGATCTCGACGATGCGCTTTCCACCGTCTTCCTCTTCGCAAATCTCCCATCGAACAGAGATATCCCCTCAAAGACAATAGAAACCTGTGCCAAACTAGCGAATGAGTTCCAGCATTACATTATCCGGAAACATGCGTTGAAAAAGTCGTTCTTATCGATCAAGGGTATTTATTACCAGGCTACTATTCAAGGACAGGATGTACTCTGGCTTGTTCCGTATAAATTCGCGCAAAGCGTACCGCGAGATGTGGATTTTAGGATCATGCTTACTTTCTTGGATTTTTATACGACTTTGTTGGGGTTTGTGCTGTTTAGGTTGTATACCTTGGAAGGGTTGGTGTATCCGCCAAAGTTTGATAAGAAGATGGATGAGATGGGTGCTGGGTTGAGGGCGTTCAGTTTGGAGAGTAAGAAGGTTGGGGAGTTGGAGAATGGAACCAATGGGGACCTTGTGGTTAAGAAGGATGTGAGCAAGCAGTTGGAGACTTTGGGAGATAAAATCAAGGAGATCGAAGAGAAGGGTGAGGAGCAGGAGGAAGAGAACGCTGTCGTTCCAGCGACCGAAGAAGGGGAGAAGGTCAATGAGGGGCTCGATAAGTTCACGGCCATACCCTCGAAAGATGGTGCTACAACCGATATCCTAGAACAGCCTACGGAAGATCTTGGAGGGGAAGGGAAAACCTCCAATATGTTCTCGGAATGGACGGTATACCTGTCTCGTGAAACACCGAGAGAACCATTGGAATTCTTGTTGAGGTCTTTCGGATGTAAGAGAATCGGTTGGGACGCAGTGCTTGGTGAAGGATCCTTCACGAAGGACGACCGGGATCCAAGTATTACGATCCAAGTTGTTGATCGACCGCCTCAGGTTGGATTGCCGCCTATGCCCGCCGGCAGTGAAGCAGAAGAAGGCGTGAACGCCGGAAGGGGCAAGGTTTTGGGCCGGTTATACGTTCAACCCCAATATATCTGGGATTGTGTGAATGCCGGAAGGGTCTTGAGGCCTGATTCTTACGCACAAGGCGCCGAGTTACCGCCACATTTGAGCCCATGGGTCAGATCGATTGAAGGAGAATACGATCCCACAGCGCCAGTAGAAGATGATGGTGAAAGTGAAGAAGAGGAAGAGGAGGAGGAGGAAGATGTTAAGATGCTAGAAGATGGTGAGAAGAATGGTGTTGAGGCTGAGGGCAGTGAAGATGAAGAGTGGGGCGGTATGAACACTGAACTCGCCGGCGAGGGTGAGGATGATAGTGAAGAGGAAGAAGAAGACGAGGAAGAGAATGGTGGTGTAGCGTTACAAGAATCTGATGCAGAGTCTGAAGACGACGAGGTATCGAGACAACTACAACATCAACGCGAATTGGAGGCCGAAGCCAAGGGAGTCGCATACAAGGAAGACAAGAAGTCTAAGAAATCAGAGGCTAAGAAGAAGCTAGACAAGGAAAAGAAACAACGAGAAGATGAAGTGGAGAGACAGAAGATGATGATGACAAAGAAGAAGAGAAAGTTGTATGAAAGAATGGAATACGGAAATAAGAAGAAACAGGACGAGAAGGAGAGGTTGGAGGGTAAGAGGAGGAAGATCGAACGGGAAAAGAAGAAGTCGAAGAATTAAGTCGAAGTCTAGCACAGCCGCACAAAGGTTTATACATGCGACGAGGGGGAATCAATCAATCAATCTGTATTATATACTATACATACTGTGGAATTGGTGTTGGATGGGAGTTTCGTAATATATTGTGTAGAATACTTTGAATACTTACTTAGTCTAGCTGTTACTTTGTTTCAGAAGTTTCTCAAAAGCAGTTTTCCTGAATTATATGCTCGTCTTTAAACCTATCGCATGTAGAAGGACTGCTTGAACAAATAACACAGCTACGACCCACGCATACACCCACTGAATCCTTTAACCGTTGAAGCCTAAAACCACCAGTATATACCATTAAACCAACTACCCCTCCCTATATCTATAAGAAGCCTAAATAAAATCCCCAAAAGTAAAAAAAAAAAAAAACCAATTCTATAAGTCCTAAAAAGGACAATCATCTCGAGCTCGGGTCATACCACCACCCAACACCCAAAAATAAAGACACCCGGCTGCAGTCGCAAAAGCAGCTCGATCACCCGGCCTCGCCAAGCCAAGCCAAAACTCTACTACAAAAAGATTAACTGAGAAACCAGCAAAAAGATTTGAGCGTGCTCAGGATCGAACTGAGGACCCTTTCCGATTTCAACTTCAGAAGTTGTAAAGGAAAAATCATAACCACTAGACTACACACCCAGAGTCGAGAGGCGAGTCGACAATTTGCCTATATAAACTGTTTGACGGAGTGGCTTTTACATTTGGGAAGCAACCGGGTCTCGCCAGCATCGAATATAGATTCACGAGTTCGAGGGCTCAGGCTTTATGGCCGTCTGGTGACCCTAATGGTGTTTACTAATAGGATTTGAAATTCAGAAATATTCATTTATTTGAGTTTATTAGCTTACAAACGTACTAAGATTTTTAAGGTATATACTGTTCTTTTTTTCATCGACAGGATTTTAAAGGACCAATTAAGCAGATAAGAACCATCTCCAGAGGATCTAACCAGACTTTCTTTGGTGAAAAAAATATAAAAGAAACAGGGGAAGGGGGAATGTCAAAAAAGAGGAGGAAAGAAGATATTATATAGACAGATCTGCATATCGTAAGTGACTATAATACTTTGTAACTGAATTTAAAGGAATCAGATTTTGGGAGGGGTGAAGGGCGTCGTCTTAACATTTAACATTGCAAGTTTATAGAGAACAAAAGCATTTTTGGGGAGAACATATAAACTAAGGAGATCAAGAAAAAGCGCTCAAGTTTTAGAAAAATGGCATGAATGGTGGTATCATTTTAAATGAAGCGCAAACAAGCTGGAAGAAAATGATAATAGATAGTATCAAGAGATGTGGGAATGAAAGAGGGTTGAAAAGAAACTTTTTCTGAAATGGTTGAATTTCTGAATCATCGAAAGACGTGCAAATAGTCGTGAAGGGTTCCGAGATATTAATAATAGTCGAAAGAAAAATAGGCGTAAGATGTGGGGTGATTCGAAGGAGCCCGAAGATATTACTCCCAAGCAATACTCTTACTGAGCTTTCCATCGTCCAGTTCCGCAAAATCAATTATTGTGATATCGCCTTTTCGATCTACAATAATCAATCTATACCCGTCCGGAGAGAATGACATCGACGCAGCTTCTGTCATCTTGATGGCGCCTTGCACCTTCGCCACCTTGAGACATCTCGGTCTCCTTCCCTCGTCGTTCACTAGTCCTAGGGGGAAGAATAGAACCAATACGTTTCCAGAACGGTCGATTGCAGCGAGAGATTCTCCAGTTGGGGATGTGCAACACCCGTGCACTTTGTCTCCCACGGAATTAAGCCTAGTAACAAGACGGATAGGTTCCTGACGACCTGTCGCATCCAACAGGCCAATGCAATTATCCACCACAATAGGCATCGCACCAGTAGCAACGCTAGTAACGCACATGAGGCGATTTCCCGGAAAGAATTTAACGGATGTAATTCCCTCGGCGTCATGCGAAATATCGAGTTTTCGAGAAGACTTCATAACAAGCTTTGGAGGTTGAGCAGCGAGGTCGTAGACTAAAAATCGAGGTTCTCGAAGGGTACTGCAAGCGAGGTAGACACCGTCGTCGGAGAAGGAGAGCGTCCCCGTTGTGTCTGTATACGGGACAATAATCTTTGTCAAACCCACTCCGCCGTTTCCGGCTTCTGGGGCTGTGTCGAGGTGATGGAGCACAATCATGGTTTGGTTTTTACCATGTTCCATGTTGACTACTCCTAGTGCGATCGTAGAGCCGTCTCCGGACATAGCCTGATTTAAATTAGTGAGGTTTCTTCCGATAGACTATGTGCATATGCTATTCTCACCATGCATTTGATATCAGATGATTCCGATATGTATGTATAAACTGTCCGGCCATCTTCTCTCAAATCGTGAACTTTCAATGTGCCACTCGTCCCGGCAATGGCAAGTAAATGGTCGCTGCAGGCCGCGAAAAGATACTCGAATCGTTTTTGCTAAGTTCGATACTAGCATTAGCACTAACGAACTAGAGGGACTTGAGGGATATATAGCCAAACCTTGCTCATGACGCGGTCTTCAGCGGAACTCAGACCGTATTGATTTGAAAAAGGACCATACTCCCCAGTGCATCTTCCGGCACAAAGCAATTCAGGTGTCTTCTCGCTTGAGAGTATTGAGAACACCTTGAACTTCTTCCGCTCTAGGAGAACAAACTTTGTACAGCTAGGGGAAATCGCGGTGGCGACAATATCCGCAAACCGTAGACGACCTCCGGTTGGGATGTGGTGGACATATTCGGCTTTTAGGTTGTTAGCCTCCGTTCACAAATATCCAAGGAACAATATAATTTACCTTTATAGAATGGGAAATTCTTTATGAATTTGTTGTGTCTACGTTCTTCTTGTTGATTCAAAGGTGGCCGTATCACAGTGTTTTCTTGCGGGACCTCTTGGTTTCGATCGATCCAGTTGGCAATCCTATCATTATCCCTCGGAGTGTGGTAATCTGACGGACCAGCTTCATCCTCAGCCTCTGGATGAGCAGTGCTCGGCGAATGCATCCGGATAGAACCAAACGGTTTCGTCCTTGAAGTGTCGACCGGAAGGCTTGGTGTTCGATGTCTCGAACTTACAGACGGGGTTTGCGTTAAAGGAATACCTATGGGCGATGTAGGAAAGGTCCCAGATCGTGGGTATGAGCCGTGAATACCACCTGACGATACATCTGTATTTAGCGGAGCCGGCCTTTGAAATTTTCTGGGCATGTTTGGAGAATTACTTCCTAAGGGCCTGGCAGGTGATCTAGGTGTAGGCTCGGTGTATGCCCCGCCATTCGCAGAAGGCGGACCGGATCGGTCGGAGAATCGGTCAGAACCGCTTGGCCTTCGTTGCATCACTCCCGCCGCCATCCCGATGATTTGCTTGGTTGTTGATACAGGCACCAGTGGGGACATGGGGTTGGAGCCCATGCGGGCACTCATTGAACGGGTTGGAAGCGAGCCCGAGAGCGCTGGAACAGCCAGGTTCTCTTCACTAGCAGTATCAGTGATAGAGGCATTCCGTGACGTACTTCTAGACCCGTCAGAATCGCTATATTACCAGTCAGTTAAAGAGTAAATTAGAAAAGGGTATATCAAAAACGTACTTTCCAGAATTACGCTGAGCAGTCCGTGGTCGAGCATCTCCGAACAGCCCGCGAAAAACGGATGGGGTGTATTTTATAGAGGGGTTGTCCAAAGGAACTTCCTTTGGAAATCCGCCTGCCCCTGCTCCTACTGTCATAGCATCCCCAACCTCTGATGTGGACGTAGATCCCCCGGCCTCACTTGAGACTCCATCTTCAAACCCATCTGGCCCACCTGGCGAGGATATTACAACACTAAACCGATGATTCGTGTTGAGGACGGCACCCATTTCCATTCGCTTGCCAGAAACCAGCTTTGCTATGCGTCTTAGCTTCTCATCAGGGTGTTTCCATTCCGTTACTCTATGGCAGCGAGGACACTAATGCAAAAGCTACGATAAGCATGTGGTCCGTATCCCACGATTGACAGAAGGAATTGAACAGGGATAAAGCTACTCACAATACTGCGTTGCAGCTCAGATCGGGCAAATTTCTCCGACATCACGCAGCCACATGTCATGATTCCAAGATCATCCGAAGGTTTACCATCTAGAACCATTTCGCATTAGCTAAAACGGCTTCCTCTATATCCATGGTTGAGTGGTTCCCGTGGATGGTACCTTTTCTGCCTTCGCACTCTAGCTCCAACTCAATCTCAGATAGGAAGGTCCGCCACTCATCCAAGTCGGCAAGCAGGGGGACTGATACGTTCGGCCGCGACCTAAAGCTTAAGGTAGCAACCTGTGATGCAGATTCCGGCTCTGGTTCTTGATATGGATTGTCGAGCTCTTTGTCAGGAAGTTTGAATATGCTCTGGTCCGTTTGTACCTCGCTTTGTTCGTCGAGCCGTCGCTTGGTCAACATAGCAGATTGTGATCTATCCCGTTGTTCCAAAACCATTAAATAGAAGCTGCTGTCCACGTCCCAGCCCTTGAGCTCTGCATCTAGCTGGATCAAAGAAAGAACGCCTTTTTGCATCAAGATGGAGAGAATATCGAATGCTTTGCACCGGAGACTGCTCTTTGTTGTCGACTTTACGACATGCATCGAGATTTCTCGGGCTCGTTTTAATGAGCCATCCCCTAGAGCTCCTAGTACTAGTTGCTGAAGGAGGTCGAGAGACGAATATGCAAGATGTTGAGCGTCATCGGAGCATTTCTTGACAATTTCTGGATCCTTGCCTTCAGGGGCATCCGTATCTTCGTTTTCTGCTTGTTCGAGCAGTGAAAGCTGTCTATCCATTACCAGTTCGAGTTGTTCCACCACAAGTTCCTCGATCTCTTGTATTAGGTGTAAGTTGTGCTCCTGCGCATCGGGTGCCACATCCTGCGAAAGTTTGGCTCGTTTGTGCCATTCTACCAAGCTCCAGCTGAGGTCATCCAAGTCTATATATATTTTATGCCAGTTTGTTTGAGCTGAGTCCGATATGTCCGGTTGGCTCAACAGTTCTCTTGATTTGCTAAGGATTCTCAAAGGAATGACTTCGGTTTGGTCGTCTGCTAGGCCGGAGGCGCTTGTTATGATTTTGCTGACGATGGCAGCATTCGCAGTTCGACTTTCGGGAAGACTTGACAGGAAATTTCGGATATAAACGAGCAAGAAATCTATGGATTGAAAATAAGCATGGTATCCAAGGAACACGTAAGATATAAAATACGATTTTGCATACCAATGTTCCAGTTATATATGTCGACCTCACCAGCCGCATCGTTCTCTTTCCTCCTATTCGGATCCGCAGCAAACGGCAGCTTCTTCGTTAGGTTATCCAGCAGCTCCCCGTCAAGGGTTTTCAGCCCATGAAGCCGTAAGAGTCTCAATCCACAAATAATCGTCCTTAGCTGGAGCTCACGGCAAAGCAAGCCATGATCCGTATGGCTCGCAATTTGCCAACCAACGAAGTCATTTTTTGTAATGGTATCGATGATCTTTAGAAGGGTTGGTACCGTCACAATTTCGTCTAGAAATGTCGATTCCGAAACGGCCATATAACGGCGTTGAAGTTGTAATATCGCATTTAACTGGCTGATAAGATGATATACTAGATGGATTTCGGAAGGTTTAGGTTTCCTTAGAGCTAT